AACTCACAGACATCTGTCTGCCCCTGCCTCCCAGAGGAACTAAAGGCGTGGGCCACCATGTCTGGCTCTCTATTTATCCTATCAGTAAATGCAAAGATAATTCTCTACAGTAAGCAAGCTTTCCTAGTTGGAATGAATAGGAAAACACTGAACTTTATCACTAAAAATTAGTGATTAAAAAAAAAATCTAAGCTGGGAATAGAGGGTGCCTCTATAATCCCAGGACTCAGAAAGGCAGGAGAACCACCCATGAATTCCAAGCCAGCCTGTCTACAAAGTCAGTTCCAGACCAGCCAGATCTCATAGCAAAACCCTGTCTTCAAACAAAAACAACCAAATGCAAGGTGTGGTGACACACAAGCCTAGAATCCCAGCACTGGGTAGACAGAGGCAAGAGGATCAGGAGTTAGGTTGATTATGTAGTTGACAGACAGCCTAGACTACATGAACCCCTCCCCCGCAAAAAAAAATTAGAACAATTTTCTTTAAAAAAAATTTTTTTTGGTCTTTTTGAGACAGGGTCTCCCTGTAGCCCCAGCTGTCCTGGAACTCACTATGTAGACCAGCCTGGCCTTGACCTCACAGAGATCCACCTGCCTCTGCCTCCAAGTGCTGGAATTAAAGGCATTTGCCGCAACACCCAGAAATTTTCTTTAAATCTTAAAAACAGAGAAATTCACTCCATCCTTGTTCCAAAAGCAGCTGCAATACTGTTAGATACACTAAGTTCACCCTTCATCTAGAACACAAATTCTGCAAGAGAAGTGAGTCAATACAGGATTACTTGTAAATTTCCTTGTATGATGTAACCCCCTACAAATTAGGAAACAAAAGTAACCACCACATCTGAAGATAAGCATAGTCCCTTCTTTCTCCACCTAAAGCCACAATCTTTGATAGCTAAAATAAAGTGAGAAAACCAACCATGCTGATTCAAAACACCAAGGGAAAATTAAGATTAAATTAAAATTAAGGGAAATAATCCTTTCATAAAAAGGGTGCACTATACACTGCTCTTCCTGGGATACTGAGTCCCTGGTAGTGTCACCCTTTGATAAAACTACTGGGGAGCTGGGCATAGTTGATACACGCCTTTAATTCAGGAGGCAGAGGCATTTGGATCTCTGTGAGATCAAGGACAGCCGGTCTACATTGTGAGTTCCTTATTCTTGCAGGGGCTACAAGAATATTCTGTCTCAAAAAAGTTGAGGTGGGCTGGAGGGGAGCTAGAGAGATGGTTCAGTGGTTAAGAGCACTGTGGCTGCTCTCACAGAGGACCTGGGTTTGATGATTCCCAGCACTTATGTGGCATCTAACAACCATCTGTAACTCGTTTCAGGGGATCCAATGTAGTCTTCTGACCTGCCAGGCATTGCAGGACATGGATGCACTTACATACTTATAGGCAAAACACTCATAGACATAAAAATAATTTTTAAAAGCCTACTGGGTTCTAGTTCTTCAAATGTACTAGAAATTTCTAAAGGACTGCTTTTACATAAGTGTTTTGTCAACCCAGCCTGAGGTTAACCTCAGAGTCAGATGCTGTAACTCACTTCCCCAGGAGGTGTCTAATGGCCACTGCCACATCTGCCAGAAGGAGGAGGGATTTCATACTGAATGGCGTCTTCCCTGCTCATGAAGTCAACTTCAAGTTTCTAATGTTAGAAAGAAGCCACTTCTATTTAAATCAGAATGATGATCGCTCACACTTCTGTGATACTGAGCATTAAAGGCCCAGCCTAAAAGTGGATCTTACAGTTCCAGAGCCTTCAATACAGCAGGATGCAAAGTCACAGTCAGGAGAGAGGCCAGCTGTTCTTCAAACTACAACCTGCTACCCACTCTACCAAGAAGTCCAAAGAAGACCCATGGACACTTCCTCACCAAACTTCTCCATCAAAAAGTGTGTCCCGCCGGGCATGGTGGTGCACGCCTTTAATCCCAGCACTCGGGAGGCAGAGGTAGGCAGATCTCTGTGAGTTCAAGGCCAGCCTGGTCTAAATAGCGAGTTCCAGGTCAAAAGATCCAGGTTTGAGTTCCAGCACCCACATGGCAGCTAACAACCTTCCATAACTCCAGTTCCAGAGGATACAACACAGTCTTCTGACCTTCAAGTGTATTGCACAACACAGGTGCACTTGCATATGTGCAGGCAATACAGTAATACACATTAAAAATTTTTTGAATTCCAAATGAAACAAAAAAAATTCCTGAAATATTAGTTGCTTTCAATCTTCCACATTATATGACTAAATTCCATTTCTGAACTGAAACTGAGAGATGATTTGGTCATGTTTAACTGTGTAAGACAAATGGTAAAGACTTTTGAAATCAACTTGTATTTTTAAATGTCTTAATCTAGCAAATTCTGGAAGTTGCCAGAAATAAATGTATGTTATCACCTAGAATAGGGTAACTTCCTTACCTTAACCACATAAACACAACAATTTGGTCTCCGCGGTTCTGCATCACTAGATGAGTCCGCAGTTTCTGTTTTAGAGTAGTAAGGGTTTAAGGGGGCCTTGCTGCTAGATTCATGATGACATTTTCAAAACTTCATTTTTTTATGATTTTTGCAGTTCATACTTAATTTTTAAAATACTTAAATTGATAAAGAATACAATTACACCCCAATAACAATATGGTGGAGCTATTTAGTAACTCAAACACATTAATCATGTATGAATATTTCTTATATCCTGTGAATGAACTCAAAGCTAAAACAACACAAAATACACACAACAAGAAGAAAATACTGAAAAACTGAAACTTGGAGGAAGCTCCAAAGACAGCCTAAGAAAACAAGCATGACTGCTATTGTCTTGAAACAAGAGGTTTCAGCACGTACCTCAGAGACCCTGGGAGCCAGGGACAGTGGCTCACCCTTTCTGTGCCTGGGAGCCAGGCAGGAAAATGGTAGTCATTCCCTGGCCAGCCTCAGTTAGAGTAAGGCCCTGTCTCTAAAAAATAAAAAGGACCAGCAAGATGGCTTTGGGGGAGGGGCATGCCATGTAGGCACTTGCTGTCAGCCACCAAGCCTGAGGATATGAACTCCAGCTCCAGAGCCCACAGGGTAGAAGTCTGAGACCTGCCCCTCCCACAGGTCACCCTCCAGCTTTCACCATCCTGCCCCTCACAACCAAACCAGAGTTAAATGAACAAAAGTTAATGGACAGCTGAAGCTGGAGTACATCTCAGTTCTTCTGAGAGCAAAAATGCATAATTTTCCTATGAAAGAAAAGTGTGATCCTTCATGACAGAAAACAAAAGATTCAATAATGAATTATGGTTTACCTGTTCATACCCAGTGTAACAGAAAATGAAATGAGCAAAATGTCAGACATAAGAAGTTTAATACCCAGTAATTCAATGGTAACAAGCTTAGAATGCCCAGTTATAATTGCATAACTTTTTACTTTTTTTTTTTAAACAGGGTCTCTTGTAACCCAGGATGACCTTGAACTCCATCCAGATCCACCTGCCTGCACCATCCAAATGTTAGATTAAAGGCACAAGTACTGCCACATCCAGATTATTTCCTTTGGTAAATACTTACAAATAAACAAGTTGTTTTTGGTAGGTCCACCTTTCACCTGATGGGTTTATAAAAATAAGATCGTTCAGTCTAGGGTTGGAGAGATAGGCTCAGAGATTACGAGCACTGGCTATTCTTGTGAAAGACTGGGGTTTGGCTCCCAGCACCCACATGGTGGCTAACATCTATCCCTAACTCCAGTTCCAAGGGATCTGACATGCTCTTCTGAAGTCTGCAGGCACTGCATGCACAGGTACACTTACATACATGCAGGCAAACACTCATACACTTTTTTTTTTTTTGGTCTTTTTGAGACAGGGTCTCCCTGTAGCCTCAGATGGCCTGCAACTATGTGGTCCAGCCTGGCCTCACTCACAGTGCTGGGATTAAAGGCGGGCGCCACCTCGCCCGGCTAAAAAATTTTTTTGAATTGTAAAAGATTGCCGGGAGTGGTAGCACTTGGGAGGCAGAGGCAGGCAGATCTCTGTGAGTTCAAGGCCAGCCTGGTCTACATAGTAGTACCAGAGCATCCAGAGCACCTTATCAAGACCTTATCTCAAAAAGTCAAAAGTAGGAGCTGGGAAGGTAACTCAGTGGGCAAGGCACCTGCCCAGCATAAGAAAAACAAGCAAAAGCACTTATGCACTTATATCTCCCTTTCCTCAAGGTAGAACAGTAAACTAGTCACACTGGCTATGTGTGATAAACATCCCATGAGAAATCTGAGGCTAAAATGTGGTAGTTAATGCTGGCATTTCAAGCATTACTTGACCTTGTTGAGAGAAAATTATTGCTAAAACTGCAAGTAATAACGGAGTTACCCATTCCAAGACAGCCCCATAGAATAAAGCAAGAGTGAGGCAATGCACAGTTCACCCCTCAACCAAACACCTTAACCGGCTGAGGTCTTTAACACCAGCGCTCCCACTAGCCAGGAGTTAATGGTAAACATGTACCATGTCTATGCTGCGCGTGTCCAGCTGCTACTGAGGACAAGCCTATGAGCTTGACCACGCTTCAAAAGCCGCAAAGAGAAAGAGCCGTGATAAGGGCTGAGAAGGGGTGACAAGGGCTGCAGTGGGTTTCGGGCGGTGGAGCAGCGCACCTCTCGGCTGCACAGTTCCACACTTGGTTATTCCTGACCCAGGGGCGCGAATGTCACCGAGGCTGCACTGTGACAACACAGCATCTCACCATATGGGTGCCGCCGTATCCGAGGCCTCCCCAAGCCCAAGGTGGAGTCCCAGGGCCAGTTCGGCCGGAGCTCTGGGAGGCTGCAGGCCCTCCACCCCGTGCATCAGGCGGGCGGGGGTCCTGCTCTCCATGAGGTCGCCGGGGCGCGAGGGGACTGCGACACCCTCGGGGGACGAAGCCTCCCAGCGCCGCGCCCCGAGAGGAAAGGATGCAGCGCGCGGCCGCCGGTCATCCCAGCCACCTTTCCGACCCGCGTCCCGGGCCGTACCTGACCCTCAGCGCCCCCTCCGCCCAACCGCGCCGGCTGTCACCGTGGCGGCGTCCGGGTCTCGACACCAGTGACGCCTCATAAAAACAACCTGCTCCCGGGCGTCCGCTGCGGCTAAGCGGCGGCCGGCGCGGCGCCGCTGGGAATGTCGGGATTCGTAGTTCGACCCGTGCCTCCCGCCGGCCAGAGGCAGCAGAAAGAACTACGACTCCCGAAGACCTGCGCGGCCGGCCTCACGTAGGCTGCCGGAAGCTGGGCCGGGCGTCTGCGATCCCCACAACATCCGGGCTCGCCGCCAGTTGCCTTGGAGACGGGCTGCAGCTGTGGAAAGGACTCACGGTTTCCACCCACCGCATAACTCCCAGCGTCAGGCAGATGGTTTACACAACACGAACGGCCTGGCTTCATCCTCTTCGCTTCTTTAATCCGGTTCAGTGAAAAGGTTGCACACTGGGGCTTCAGGAAAGAAGAGCTTTTGCTGAAGAAACTAACAAAGATGGCGAGAGTGACCGACTGCAATTGGGTGGGTTTGGGCAAAGGGCTAGATGCTTTTGGATATTGGTATTCGGTAGTTTTTGAGTCTACTACTACCACCCACCCATATATAGGCAACCTCCGTGCTTTTTTTACATTTACAAATGTAAGTGCACGATCCTCTAATTAGAGCTTCGAAGGTGTATGGGGAGTAGTACCCCATACAAACTTCCTACCGGTAGTTTTGAACAGGACTCGTATTCCTCAGTTTTACTTTGCTTATTCTATTTTTGGTGGTCGGGTGGTTGGGATCTAACCCAAGGCTTGTGTGCATGGTAGGCAAACTACTTAGCTACACCCCCTTGCCCTAGTACCTTCAATTTAATGTCACATTCATTTATAGTATGTCTTGTCCAAAAGAGGATTGGAAGAGTGGGTATACTGTACTTATTCCAGTGGAAAGTTAAATTTTCTCTGCCCCCTAACTGGCTAATGAGCAAACAAAAAAGATCACTCAAAAAGTTGGTGGTGAACCTGAGCACATACAAAGGCTTGTTTCACAATTAGACTCAGTTTGTTTCGGTGGGGTAAGCAGGGATTGAACCTCAGGCTTCATGCATATTGGGAAAGCACTGCACCAAGGAGGTATATCCCCAAACCCCATGATTTGTTTTGGGTTTTTTGGGGTAAGAGACAGGGCTCTCCCTGTGTAGCCCAGCTGACCGTGATCATCTGGTCTCTACCTCACAAATGTTGGGATTACTGGCCTATGTCACTGTGTCTTGATGTTTTATTTTTAATTGTATAAAGTTTGAACTCCTCACTTTAAATTATCAGGTTTGAGCCGGGCGTGGTGGTGCACACCTTTAATCCCAGCACTCGGGAGGCAGAGGCAGGTGGATCTCTGTGAGTTCAAGGCCAGCCTGGTCCACATAGTTCCAGGACAGCTGGGGCTACAGGGAGACCCTGTCTCAAAAAGACCAAAACATAAAATAAAATTATCAGGTTTGAAGAGACTAAAATCCAAATAACAAGGCTGCTTTCACTGTGTAGGGTACAGTAATAGTTATTTTCAATTATAATGGAAATTTAAAAGATTTAAGAAGATACCAACTTTCCCAGATTTTGTAGTAGATTATTATACAAAGTTTATCAGCTGATTTGTATTCTGTTTGAAATGACTTTTTTTTTCTCCTCAGACAGGGTCTCCCTGTGTAGCCAAGGCTGGCATTATTTGCAGTTTTTGATTTGTTTGGTTGTTTGTGATAGGGTCTCCTGGATCTCAGGCTGGCATCTACCATGAGCTTCTTATCTTCCTGAGTGTGAGGTTAGAAGTGTAAAACACCATGCCCAATTAATGTGGTGCTGGAGATGGAACTCAAGTCCTTGTGCATGCTAGGGAAGCACTCTACCAACTAAACCTCATTCTCACACCTAAATTTGCAATTGCAACTTAACATTCTGAAACTAAATTTTACTGAGACACTAAAATAACTGGAAATCAGAGAGCTAGGCTATGCTAACAAGAACCTGGCTAGCAGGGCACAGTGGCATACACATATTAACCCAGCACTAGTGCAGGAGCCTCTAGGATTAGAATTTCTGCAGGAGGGGCTAGAGAGAAGGCTCAGCGGTTAAGAGCACTGACTGCTCTTGCAGAGGACCCAGGTTCAATTCCCAGCACCCACATGGCGGCTACTAAGTGTCCTTAACTCCAGTTCCACGGGAATCTAACGCCTGACCTCCACGGCATTGCACGACATGGGTGCACTCACATACATGCAGGCAATACACTCATACACATAAAATTTTTTTAAAAAGAATTTCTGCAGGAAATTGCATGCTAGGAGGGGGTAGTGATGGTGGTATGGTGGTCTATACAGGCTACCCATGTGGAGTGGGACCAGAGGAGGAACACATTTCTCCCTTAAGAAACACTTGCCTCTGAGTTGATAACTTGGGCTGATAACTAAATGTACACAAGCACATCTCCTGAGTTCTGTATTTAGAAAGGAGGGAGGTGGGAGAGAAATAAATAGAAGAAAACAAAACAAGCATTATCAGATTGAAAACAACTTTTTAAATATTTTATTTATATATATATATATATTTATTTTATGTGTATTCATGTATTGCCTGCATGTAGGTAAATGCACCCATGTCGTGCAATGCCCACAGAGGTCAGAAGAGGCTGTAGGGTCTCCTGGGACTAGAGTTACCAACAGTTATTAGCTGCCATTTGGGTGCTGGGATTCGAACCCAGGTCTTCTGCAAGAACAACCAGTGTTTTTAACCACTGAGCCATCTCTCCAACCCCCCTGAAAACAGCTTTTTAAGAAAGGATGTCACATTGCCAGGCACACACCTTTAATCCCAGCGCTGGAGCAGCTGAGGCAAGCAGATCTCTTTGAGTTCAAGGCCATCCTGGTCTACATAGTGAGTTCCATGCCAGCCCCACTACAAGGAGAACTTGTCTCTAAAAGACCCACCCAAAAGGGGGGGAGGTGTCACTCTAGTTCAAGCTGCCACCTTGAGCTCCCAACAACCGAGCTTCCTCAGCCTTTCTAGAGATCGGATTACATGTGGGTGCTAACACCTTGCTGTGGATTGAATTTTCAAAGGCAGTCAAGTGACAAAGATCTGACAACAGTATGTAAAGTAGTACTTTGTTAGCAGAGCAGGATCTGGCAGCTGACCCTAGGGCTGGCATCCTGAGCAGATTTGTGGGGACCCTGTTACTGCCTGTGATCACTTTAGGGAATGAAGGAACACGAAAGACTTATGGAGGGAAAAGAGCCAGGGACAATAAGCAACAAAGCTACTTTTTCTTGGGCTGATGCACAGCAAAAGGACCTTGACCTTGTGGGGTAGTTATAGTCTATATTGTTCTTTTTTTTTTTTTTTTCTGATACTGGCAATTGAATGCAAGGGCTATACCACAGAACCATATTGCCAGCACCTTGTTTTGTTTTGGAAACTGGCTTTCTTATAGACCTTGCTGAACTTGAACACCAGAAGTAGCTAAGGATGACCTTGAACTACTAATCCTCCTGCCTCCACCTCCCAAGTGCTGGATTTACAGGGTGAGGCACCCTGAAACCAGTTGTTGCAACATAGCCCAGGCTAGTCTAGAACTCCCTATGTAGGCCAGGCTGCCCTAAAACTTGAGAGCTCATCCTGGCTAACTCCCAAATGCTGGGTGACAAAATGTGTGCCACCACACCTGACCCTGCCTTATGATTATTAATAAGGCAAAGCAGCCAGGTATGGTAGCTAACACCTATATCCCAGCACTTGGGAGGTATAGCCCACTACACCAGCTTCAGGTATTATTTTATAATATCCTTGGCTTTAAGACTTTAGAAGCAGAGATCCTAAATTTAACAATGCATTCCAAAGCAGGGCATGGTGGAACATGCCTTTAACCCCAGCACTCGGGAGGCAGGGACAGAATGAGATCCTGGCAGGCCTGGCCTATAGAAAGGAAACAAGATGGAGTCTTGTTGCCAGCAACAGCTAAGAGAGGGCTCCAGAGAGAGCACTTTGTGTTCCTTACAGATTGGGGGAGGCCAAGATTCTTGACTGCTGCAACAAAAGAACTCCAGGAGTTGTGTATAAAGCAAAGCTGGGGGTTATTAGGAAACAAATATAGGTGAAGCCTTCTAGGAGAAGGGGAGAGACATGTAAGAGGACAGTAGTAGACAACCTAGAGTGGGCAGAGCCTCTCAAACAGCTCCATTTAAATACTTATAGCCCTATCTGATTTGGGTGACTTTTTTTTTTTCTTGTCTTTTTGAGACAGGGTCTCCCTGTAGCCCCAGCTGGCCTGGAACTTGCTATGTAGAGGATTAATGTTTTGAGTATGAAGCTAAGTGTGAATAGTTCCCCGCCTTTTTTTTTAATTAGGCAGGAGAAGTAGATTGAAGCCTGTTGTTTTGGGTGTTTAGATCAGGCTGGCTTCAAACTCACAGAGATCGGAGTGCCCCTGCCTCCCAAGTGCTGGGCTTAAAGGCTTTGGTGGCTTCTTAAGTTGCATTGTTCAGTGAATTTAAAAGAGTAAGTTTAGCCCGGTTTGGTAGTGGTTCATGCCAGAATCCTAATGTTTGGAAGGTTGAAGATGGGGAAGGTCAGGAGTTAAAGGCCATCTTCATCTACATAGCATGTTCCAGGCCAGCCTGGGCTACATGAGACCTTGTCTCAAAACAACACAAAGCCAAGAAAATACAATATGAAAGTGGAGGGGTAATGGGGAGATGTTTAATCTATTCCTATATAACAGGGTGATTTTTATGTGACTTCTAGGATAAGAAAAGTACTTTGGCTTCAAATTCAGACACAGAAACGAAACCTGAACCACCGCCTCCCTGTGTGAACCCTGGGAACCCTGTGTTTTCCTGTATGTTGGACCCCAAGACACTCTGCACAGCCACCTCACTATCAGAACCACAGATGATTATGTACAAAACCAGTTCAGGTTATTACGGAGCCTTTAGGCCTGCACCCCACTTCTTTCCCTGTAACTACACTCCAAAGGAGCAGGTGTTTTCTAGTTACATCAGAGCAACTGGGTTTTACCAAAACAGCAGTCTAAATACAGCACCTGACAGGACCAGAACTGTTGATTTTCCTAATTTCCAGCACACTCTGTGAAAACGCATCCTTCTGACAATTCAATCTTAATCTAAGACTAGAATTCCTCCTTTAGAACATGGAAAAATTTAAATAAATTTTTTAAAAGATGTGAATACATATTTTTTAAATACTTTTAAGAAATAAAACATTTTAATTAATAAGAGTGACTTCATTTATTTACACAGAGGAGCTCACTGTGTAGCCCAGGCTAGCCTAGAACCCCTTATGTTTCCAGGCTAGTCTAGAACTCAATCCTTCCACCTTAGCCTCCACATGTAAACCTGACCACACTGTCACACAAACAAATATGTTTTCAGGGATGGAGAGATAGCTCAGCAGTCAAGAACACTTATTACTCTTACAAAAACTGGAGTTTAATCCCTAGCACTCACTTCAGGAGGCTAACAGCCACCTGTAACTCCAGCTCCCTAGGGGTCCTATGTCTCAGCTCTGAAGACAACTCACATGAACATACCCCCACACTGATACACATGCATGCACATAATTAAAAATAAGAAATCTTGGGGCTGCAGAGATGACTTGGTGGTTAAAAGCACTGACTGCTCTTACAAAGGACCCAGGTTCAGTTCCCAACATGCACATGGCAGCTAACAACCATACTCAAATTCCAGAGGATCCACCTCTTCTGGCCTCCAAGGACTTTGCATACATATGGGCACTTTCATTCAGGCAAAACACTTAAATAAAAATAGATCTTTTTTAAAAAATCTCTTTAAGAAATGTGTTCAGGTGGGGCATGATGGCTCACATCTTAGCAGGGAGGCAGAGGCAGGCAGATTTCTGTGAGTTCCAGGCTAGGCATGGCAAGGCATACCTATGACTGCAAGCAGTTGGCACACAGGCATGAACATCAAGAGTTCAGAACCAACCAGGGCTACATAGTAAAACTCTCTTTAAAACAATAAAAGCAAGCCAGGAGTGGTGGCACATGCCTTTAGTCCCAGCACTTGGGAGGCAGAGGCAGGCAGATCTCTGTGAGTTCAAAGCCAGCCTGGTCTACATAGTGAGTTCCAGGCTACCTGGGGCTACTGGGAGACCCTGTCTCAAAAAAAAAAAAAAAGCAATGGGGCTGGAGAGATGGCTCGGTGGTTAAGAGCACTGGCTGCTCTTGCAGAGGACCTGGGTTTGAATCCCAGCACCCACATGGTGGTTAACAACTGTCCATAAATCCAGTTCCAGGGGATTTGACACCCTCTTCCAACCTCCTAGGGCATTGCATGACATGGGTGCACCTACCTACATGCAGAAAAAACACGTACATAAAATAATATTAATAAAAAGCCAGGCATGGTGACACATGTCTTTAATCCCAGCACTGGGGAGGCAGAAGCAGTAGGATCTCTGTAAATTCAAAGCCAGCCTGGTCTACATAGTAAGTTCCAGGCCAGCTGGAACTACAGGGAAACCTTGTCTCAAAAAGGCTGGGAAAACAAAGCAAAAAAACACAAGGTATTCCATTTTGCTCTACAATAAACTCATCTCTACACTAATAAATAAAATACACACACAGTCAGGCCTGGTGGCACAGGTTTATAGTAACAACTACTCAGGAAACTTGAGGCAAGAAAACAACAAGTTCAAGGTCAGCCTGGTCAACTCAGACCTTATCTCTGAAGATCCCAGAAAAAAAGTCACACCTATGTTAAAGACTTTAAAAGGTTGATTGGCTGATTAGAAGAGTTGGTGATTACGGAAGGTTGGAATGTTACAGATCCAACAAAATTATCTTTGGGGCTATCTTTAGTCCCCTTAATAGTCATCTATCTGGCTTCTTTTTAGGTTTTGGTTTTTGGAGACAGGGTCTTACCTCTTAGTCCTGGGCAGCCTGAAACATGTTATGTATACCAGGTTGGTCTGGCACTTACAGAGATCTGCCTGCCTCTTCCAGTGCTGGGATTAAAGGCAAGGACCACGACCCCCAGGCCCCCATCCCACTTCTATATCAGACTTGACATCCTTGTGACACTCAAGTAAAACCTTTGGAATTTATTAACTTAGCAGACTGCTAGCTTCCACCAACATGAAAGCTAGCAATGTCTTAGATAGCATTTGAGCCCATAGCAGAGTTTTCCTGGCTGTACTATAACCTATGAAGTGCTGTTCCCACTAATGTATTTGTAAAATGCCTTGATTTATGACTTTCTTTTGTTCTGTAACTATAAAAACTAATGAAACTTTTTTTTTTTTTTGGTCTTTTTTGAGACAGGGTCTCCCTGTAGCCCCAGCTGTCCTGGAACTCACTATGTAGACCAGGCTGGCCCTGAACTCACAGAGATCCACCTGCCTCTGCCTCCCGAGTGCTGGGACTAAAGGCGTGTGCAACCATGCCTGGCTATGAAACTATTTTTTTTTTACACTGTCATTATGGAAATCTTGAATCTTTGTTCTTGGGTTATTATCTTTGGCTCAGGAATAACAAACTGTCTCAGGCTAGGGATATGGCTCAGTTGGTGGAGTGCTTGGGTAGCATGCATGAAGTACATGTACCCATTAGGCTACAAAAGTCTTTGATGATAGAAAGTAAGTGTATTTATTAAGACAAAAGAACACAGAAGCTGGACTTAGTGGCTCACATAACCCAGCAGTCAGGAGATTGAAGCAAGACTATAATGAATTTGAGGCCAGCATGGGCCACCCAGAGCTACATAGTAAGACTCACAATCCTAGTACTTGGAATGTAAGAGGATCTGAAGTTCAAGGTCATCTTCTATACAGTGAATTTGAGGTCAGCCTGTGTCACATGAGATCTGTCATGGAAAAAAAAAATCTGTTTCTAGGAAAGCAAAGGACTGAGCTGTGTGAAGTCATATGGGGAGCTATGGCATGGACTGAGAGGGAACAGGATGCTCTCTAGTAGAGGCCTTTGTGACAAGAAGAGCCTCAAAGAGATGGTGGAGAAGAGAACTGTGGGACAGGGTTAAAGGAGAAATGGCTTTTGAGGCGTTTGGGTGTACAACAGAGATAAGGGGCAACAGCAACATTGTTTTTTGTTTTGTTTTGTTTTTGTTTTTGTTTTTTTGGTCTTTTTGAGACAGGGTCTTCCTGTAGCCCCAGCTGTCCTGGAACTCACTATGTAGACCAGGCTGGCCTTGAACTCACAGAGATCCTCCTGCCTCTGCCTCCCAAGTGCTGGGACTAAAGGCGTGTGCCACCATGCCCGCCTATTTGTTTGTTTTAAAACAGAGCATTAGCTGGATGTTGTCGTATCCACCTTTAATCCTGGCACTTGGGAGGGAGAGGCAGGTGGAACTCGGTGCGTTCAAGGGCAGCATGGTCTACACAGTCAGTTCTAAGCCAGCAGGGGCTACACAGTGAGACCCAGTATTAAAAGGAACAAACAACAGAGGGGCTGCTGAGATGGTTTAGTGGGTAAAGTGATGGCTGCACAAATGTGAGGACCTGAGTTTGGGTCACCAGCACCCATGTAAAAACCAAATATGGCAGCAGAGGTCTGTAACCCCAGCCTGAAGCACCCCACCCCATGGGGGGCAGAGACAGCTGAATCCACAGAGTTCCGTGGCTATTCTAGCCAGATCAGTGAGCTCCAGGTTCAATGAAGAGATCATCTCAAAAAATAAGATGGAAACTATCAAAGAAAATACAAAACATCTGGCCTTTACATGCACATGTATACACATACTACATGCACACACATACATACACATGTACTACACGCACACACACAAAAAAATACAAAACAAAGAAAAATATAGCCATCATCTCCAAAGTTACTTTCTTTATGAGACAAGGGAGATAGAATAAAATCACAATGACAGGTTAACATCATGTAACTATATAAGGATTAAGTCGGGATGAGGCTGTGACTCAGCAGCAGGATGCTTCCCTCAAACCCATGAGGACCTTGGCTTGATTCTTTGCACTGCTAGCCCATTCCCAACCCCTCACCACAAAAAAAAAAAAAAAAAAAAAAAAAAAAGCAAAACAACAATAAAAAACAAAAAAAAACCTCCTTAGCTAAAAAGATTAAAAGTAGAGGAAATCCCCTATTATGTAGACTGAAAGAGTCACTAGAGGAACCCCCCACCCCCACCTCCCCACCCCCCACTTCTCTTTCTCTCCTTTGAGATTTGAGACAGGGTCTTGCTATGCAGCTCAGGCTTTCCTGGACTCATGGCACTCCTCCTGCCTCAATCTCCTGAGTGGTAAGATTCCAAGTGTTTACTACCACACCCAGCTCTTGTATCTGGGGCCCACGATGGTCCAAACAATATTCTGTAATTTTTTTTTCTTTTGGAACTTAAATTGATTAAAGAAAAGTAAGAAAGACAGGCCAGCCGGGGCTACAGGGAGACCCTGTCTCAAAAAGACCAAAAAATAATAAAGAACTCCTGAGTGTGGGAGGGACTCTAAGAGAGCAATCCCCTCCTGAATTTTTTTAATTTTTAAAAAATTATTATTTTATGTGTATGTGTGTATTGCCTGCATGTATGTAAGTACACCCATGTTGTGCAATACCTGAGGAAGACAGAAGAAGATGTCGGTTTGCCTGAAACTGGAGTTATGGACAGTTGTTAGCCGCCATGTGGGTGCTGGGATTCAAACCCAAGTCTTCTGCAAGAACAGTCAGTGTTCTTAGCCAATGAGCCATCTCTCCAGCCCCGAAATTCTGAAATTCTTTTATTTAATTATTCTTTTATTTTACTTTTATGTGTAGGAGTGTTTTGCCTGCATGTATGTAAGTGCTCCACATACATACAATGCCTATGGTGTCCAGAAGAGGGTGTCAGATCCCCTGGAACTGCAGTTACCAACAGTTGTTAGCTGCTGTGTGAGTGGTAAGAACCAAACCAGGGTCCTCTGCAAGTGCAGCCAGTACTCTTAACCACTGAGCCATCTTTCCAGCCCTGAATTTTGTTTTTTAACTGTAACTAAAATTCAAATAAAGGCTTTCAAAGTAATATGGGTTTTGTTGTTGGTTTCTACACATCTTTTTGAGACAAGGTTTCACTATGCAGACCAGGCATTCCTGGAACCCTTCATTCCTCTGCTCAGGGGCTATGGTGCTCGGATTTTGGATGTGCTACACGATGCCACACCCCAGCAAATCCAACAACAAACAACGGGCAGTAGAAAGAGAAAATCTGGTCTGTGTATCTATAGACTGACTAAAAATTATCACTATTCATTACCGCAAAGTCAGTCATTCAGACAATTAAATATATTAATAAAATCTATCAGTAAGTATCCTGGACATCACACCAATACCAATTCTGTTATGAAAGCAAGTACAGTTCATTAACAGCAACAACAAAGTGTATGTTACAAGCTAATAAGAGTTCAAACAGACTGCTCTTATTTTGGAAATGACTCACCAAGCACTTCGTTTTCTAAAGTTTCATAGGATTTTGCTCTCTACAGAGCTAGGGCCCTAAACAATGGTTCTACACAGTTGACCACAGTGTGTACAAAGATTCCTAACATCTGCAGTTATTTTTGAGAAACTTAAAACAATACCTGGTACTATACCTAGCTGTCTCTAGTACTCATGAAGACTTTAATTCTGTTCCTTGAATTATATCCCGAATCTTCTCAGCATCATTTTGTACAACTGTGTTGGATGGATCAATCTTAAGTGCAGCTTCATAATCTTGCAAGCCTGTATTTATATAGCAGTGATGATCAATAAAGTATTCCATAAATACCTGGCTTATCTATACAACAGTTTGGATTTTTTTTTTTTTTTAAACAGGAAGACAGGGTCTCCAGTAGCCCAGGTAGGCCCTGAACTTCAGAGGTAGCTAAAAATGACCTTGAACCTCTGTTCTCCTGCCTGTACCTCCTATGTTGGGATACAGGTATATACCTACCACACCCAGTGTGTGTGGTCCTGGAGATCTAACACAGGACTGTGTGCATGCAAAGCGTTCACTCTACTGACCAAGCTATATCCTACCCACCTCCACCCCTTGGTCAATCTCTTACCTTCTACATACAACTCTAGTTGACAGAATGCTGTGCCCCGTCGGATATGTGCCTTCATTCTTGCATTAGCATTGTCTGCAACAGGTGGTGTCAATAATTCCAGTGCCTTTCAAAAAATACACATAATTAGGGGCTGGTACAAATGGCTCACTGGGTAAAATGCAAACATGGAGACCTGTTTCTGTTTTTTGTTTTTCTTGTTTTGGAGGGTTGACAGAATGCTGTGCCCCATCAGATATGTGCCTTCATTCTTGCATTAGCATTGTCTGCAACAGGTGGTGTCAATAATTCCAGTGCCTTTCAAAAAATACACATAATTAGGGGCTGGTACAAATGGCTCACTCTTTTTTTTTTTTTTTTTTGATATAGAGTCTCTCTGAAGTCCCACCTGGCCTACAACTTGAACTTGATTCACAGACATCTCCTTCCTTTAAGTGCTGGGATTAAAGGCATGTGCCACCATGCTGGGCTCTGAAGACTATTTTTGATCCTCAGCACCCATGTAAAAAGCCGGGCATGGTGCAACATGCTTATAGTCCAGCACTGAGGAAGAAGAGGCAGTAGGATCCCTGGGGATCTAGCCAGCCAGCCTAGCCAAATCAATGAGTGTGTAGTTGCAGTGAGAGACCCTGCTTCAAAAAAACAAAGTGGACAGTGCCTGAAGAGCAACACCAAGGTTGACCTCTGGCCTCTGGTGAGTGTGTGTGTGTGTTAAATGTGCACATGAACATGCATACACATGCATACACACAGAACAGAAAACCTCAGACATGTAGTGACTAGACAATGTTTAATAGAAATGAAAAAAGAGTCTAAAATAACAGATGGCATGGTGGTAAAATAGGATAGTACGTGTAACTGTCAAGAAAGATGTGAACCATCAAAATTTATTTATTTATTTATTTAAAGCCAGGATCTCCCTGTAGCCCCAGCTGTCCTGGAACTCACTATGTAGACTAGGCTGGCCTTGAACTCAGAGATCTTCCTGCCTCTGCCTTCTGAGTGCTGGGATTAAAGGCATGTGCCACCACGCCCAGCTATTTTATTTTTATTTATTTATTTATTGAGACGGTCTCCCTGGAGACCCAGTTGGCCTGGAACTCTCTATGTAGACCAAGCTGGCCTCAAACTCAGAGATCCACCTGCCTGTGCTTCCCGAGTGCTGGGATTAAAGGCATGGGCATGCCTAGCTTATTCTAGTATTTTTATGTGCATACATGTGCATGAGTTTATGTGCACCATATGTGTGCAGGATCCCACAAAGCAAACGAGGGCATCAGATCCCCTGGAATTGGAGTTAAAAACAGTTGTGAGCTACCATGTGAGTGCTGGAAACTAAACCCCAACAAGTGCTCTTAATTGCTGAGCCATTTCTCCAGTCCTGAAAATTTTAAATTCTCACTTTAAAACAAATCTTGGCCAGGTGTGGCCAGTCCCAGTTAGCCTGGAACTCTCTATGTAGGCTAGGCTGGCCCTCTGTCCCCCAGAGATCCTCCTGACTCTGCCTCCTGGGTGCTGGAACCCAGCCCAAGAGAGAATCTCACTTTGTAACCTTGCCTGACCTAAAACTTGCTGTGTACCCAAGGCTGGCTTTGAACTCAGTGATCCTCTGCCCTAGAGTTTCTTGAGTCCTGGGCTTATAGGAATGAGCCATAATACCTAGCTCCAGAGGATATTTTTTTAATTAAAAAAATGTTTATTTTAGGGAAGGGTATGGTAGCACATGCCTTTACTCCCAACACTGGGGAGGCATAGGCAGACAGATCTCTGTGAGTTCAAGGCCATCCTGGTCTACATAGTAAGTTCTAGGCCAGCTAGGGCTGCAGGAAGACTCTGTCTTAAAAAGACCAAAAACAAAAAAAAATCTTTTTATTTTATGTGTGTTTTACCTGCATATATGTAAGTATACCACATGCATGCAATGTCTGTAGAGGTCAGAAAAGGACATCAGATTCCCTGGAACTAGAGTTACAGATTGCTGTTAGCCTCCATGTGGGTGCTGAGAACCAAACCTGGGTCCTCTGCAAGACCAGGCTCTTAACTACTGAGCCATCCCTCTAGCCCAAGGATAATTATTTGTTTGTGGTTTTAAAAATATTTATTATTTTTATTTTCTGTATATGAGTGTATTGCCTGCATATGTGTAAGTGCACCCATGTCATGCAGTGCCCTCAGAGGTCAGAAGAAGGCATAAGATCCTCTGGAACTAGAGTAACAGATGGTTGTTAGCTGCCATGTGGGTGCTGGGAACCAAACCCAGGTCCTCTGCAAGAACAGTCAGTGCTCTTAATTGCTGAGCCATCTCTCCAGCCTAAAGATAATAATTGTTTGAGGTTTTTTGTTTGGTTTTTCTTTTGAGACAGGGTCTTCCTGTAGCCCCAGCTAACCTGGAAGTCACTATGTAGACTAGGCTGGCCTCAATCTCACAGAGATCTGCCTCCCTCTGCCTCTAGAGTACTAGGATTAGAGGAGTGCATCACCATACCCAGCCCCAAGAACAATGGTTTTAAAGCATCATATTAATATTTTAAAAATTGCATATCTACATACACAGAGAGACATGCACATACCTTAGAAGAATCTTCAATGGCCTTGTGCAAGTTCTTTAGTTTTAGGTGACAAGCAGCCCGATTCAAATACAATAATGGAATCTTGTTACTTAATCTTATGGCTAAATTGTATGCATTAACTGCTGCCAAATAGTTTTCTGTTGCAAACAATTTGCTGATGAGACAAAAAAAAAAAGAAAGAAAAAAGAAAAAAGGAAAAAGCAATTTAACACTGAAATAGACAGAGACTAATCATTATTCCTGTTTGGCAGCTGGATGGCCTACCTGCTAGATTCCCTTTTGGGTGAAGACTGTGGTTACACAGGTTCCCATTCTCCACAAATACCAAGTGTGTGCTTGAACAGGATGGACCCCTTTCCCCAAGGTAGCCATCAATATTTTAACCCAACATGCATGTTGCCATGGGTTGCTACAGCAGTTCATTTCGGGATGGGGTTAAGGCAGAGACTGGTCTGGATGAAGCCAGTTACTTTGGTTTCAAAGTTGGGAGAATAAAAAGTTGGGAAAAACGTCTCCCTCTGCTGGATATAAATGAAGAAAGCACTCTGCCCAAACGCTGTTCATTGTCAGTGCTGTGAGAGAAACCAGAATTTGAAAAAACTAATGCAGTGGAAACAGGAAAGATAATGAAACAGAAGGAAATCACATCCTCGACTCAGAGAAGCTGCTACAAGCTTTACACCAAGTGCAAAATGCTTTTAGTATTTGGTATTTTGGGGGTTTTTTTTGTTTGTTTGTTTTGTTTTGGTTTTTTTTTTTGGTCTTCTTGAAACAGGGTTTCTAGCTGGCCTGGAACTCACTGTGTAGACCAGGCTGGCCTTGAACTTGCAGAGATTTGCCTGCCTCTGCCTCCCAAGTGCTGGGACTATAGGCATGCACCACCATGCCCAGCTGCCAATAACATTTTTTAAAACATAAAGCCAGTATCAAGGCACCTGGAGGTACAGACCTGTAATCACAGCTGCTTAGGAAACTGGGGTGGGCAGGTTAAGAGGTCAAGGTCCAAATGGGCCACACATTAGTTAGTTCAAGGCCAGCTTGAGCAACTTTCAAAATAAAAGAGCAATAGTTGTAATCTTATCACTTGAGAGATGGAGAATGGAGGATCAGGAATTCAAGGTCATTTTTGGCTACATAGAAAATTCAAGGCCAGCCTGTGCCAGGTGAGACTATACGTCAAAACAAACAAACAAACAAATGGGAAAAGAGGGCTGGGGGATATACCTCAAAGTTAAAGCACTTGCCTAGCATTAGAAAGGCCCTTGATCCAATCTCCAGTACTAAAATAGATAGAGCTGAGTATGGTAGCACATATCTTTAACCCAGCACTTCAAAGATGGAGGCAGGTGTATCTCTGTGAGTTCAAGGCCAGCCTGGTCTACATTGCAAATTCCAGGCCAGCTGAGGCTACAGGGAGACACTGTCAAAAAAGGAGGAGGGGGGATAAAGCAAGCCAGCGAGCATGAGTGTGCCTTAGTGAAGTAACACCTACTCCTACAATTTAGCATTCAGAATGGAGAAGCACACTGCTAGTATAAAAATAACGAGTTGTAGCAGGGGTAGTGAACACCTGCAATCCCAGTGCTAGGGAGGGAGAAACAGGAGAATCACCATACATTCAAGGCCAGCCTAGTCCATGGAACAGCTAGTTCCAGGCCAGCCAGGGCTACATAGTGAGACCCTGCCCTTCCTCTCCACCTAAAAAACAAAAAGACAAATTAGGCCATAGTGCATACTGTCTTTTTCCTTATATTGCTCCAGAGAAAAAAGAACCCATCCCATGTGACATATGCAGTTATGCACCACATAAAGACGTTTTAGTTAACAATGAATATACATATAATGCTGGACCCAAAAGATTATGTCACCTACTGATATCACAGCCATCTTCATTTGTACTCTATGGCCTTCAAAGATAAAAATCACCTAGTGCCATCTTTCTTAGACCATACCAGTAGAGAGAAGCTTATCACTGTATAGATGTATAGAAAGAGACAGACTCTGAGAGACTAGCTCATGCAGCTATGGAGGCTGAGAAGTGTTAGATCTGCCATCTGCACACTGGGTACCAAGAAAGCTGATGATATAGTTCTAATCCAAGCCCCAAAGCTCAGAACTAGGGGAATCAATGGTTTAAGTACATCCCCAGCGTGAAGACTTGAGAGCCAGGAGAATTAATGCCCCAGCTCTAGAGAGTTCTGTTTTGTATACTAACAAAAAACTAATCATAGAAACAAACTACCCATACAATGTGGAGTTCGTGCCTATAATACCAGCACTTGGGAGGCAGAGGGATCTCTGGGAGTTCAAGGCCAGTCTGGTCTACATGGTGAGTGCCAGGTCTGCCAGGGCTACATAGTGAAACCCTGGTTAACAAAAAAAAAGAGAGAGTGGATTTTCCCTTCCCTTTGCCTTTTGTTAACAGACACTAACTGCAGCAGAATATTATAAGCAGTAAATAGAAGCAACAGAAAATCGTATTTGCCTTTGAGAGGTCATCTTTAACATGGATTATAATATCCTTCAATTAGGAGAGTTAGTAGCATCAGGAAACTTTCCTATCTCCACAAACCAAGTCTGTTTAAATACAGTGGCAAAGGTAGATCGCAGACCTGTCCTGCAAGCACACAGGTCTGAGGGTTAAAAGACAAATTTGAGACTAAGAATGGTGGTTCATGCC